AAGCTGGTCTTCGGCAAGATCAGTGGAGTGCCTGTGGTAGCTATGCAGGGACGGTTCCACTACTACGAGGGATACCCCCTATGGAAGGTAAATTACATAAGTCCACCACGAAACTACTCTTTGTGTGATCCACATCTTTTTGTACCTACCTAGTTTGCGTGATGTGTGTTTGTGTAAAAGCACAACACAGGAGAATATGTTATAGAGGGATAGCTTTTTTTAGATCTCTAATTAATAAATAGGGAATGGGCAAATAAATACTTTCAATTGGTATCCCATAATATCAATGAAATGACATTCACCCTACTACTGGTAGGTTTTTTTGTTGGTGATTTCGTCTAATTCGTCTTCTCGTCAATGATATTTCGAGATAATACGTGGATATGGGCATTGTATCGCGCTCTAACGATTCTTAGTTAGTTTACCAATTTAATACCTACATAGGCAATGGTCACAATATTACAACATCATCAACGACCCTTTGTTTTCTTCATTGATAATAATGATGTAAGACTGTCCAATGTTTTACGATCTAGCCATACGTACGAAACTGCTTATTGATATAAATAAACATTCTCGTAATCTACGGAAAATTCTCGTCGTCGTCGTCGCGTCGCCTTACCCGTATCGTATCTGGATGTGGCTGATGCAAAGCGGTCTCGACCCCCCAGCAGCGAGGTTATCTCTTGTTGTGAGCATTACAATGGAGAGTAACGGACACGTTAAGATAATAATACCAACGACTGAGGCGTTTGTTTTTTTTTAATGACCGTTTTATTCCAAATGTCACAGAATTCGAAACGTAGTAACTGGTCGATAAAAATAAATCAAAGATCGACAGACTTAAGTCATTATGCTTACAAGGATCTTTTATCGTGATCTGTCGCCTGTCGATGCATTTGAGAACTGTCTGTCTATTATCTTGATTTTTTGTTTCAATGATTCTTAGTAGCATGTCGTCTGATTTTGTGTTAAGGTGACAAGGGATTGAGGGGACAAAACAAAAACTATACCCACGGCGTAGGTAGGTACCTACTGCTTCGGAGAAAAGCATCAGGTACCTACCTAGCTACAGACCATATGTGACAAACATGTCTGTAGATATCTGCCCTTAGATTGGTAGGATTAGCCATTAGTTATTTCGGAAGGTTAAATAAAACACTACATGCAACGGGAAATTTGTATACCAAATGATCAGTGGATTCATTATTAAATCGATTAACAACACGCATTATGTTATTGAAACGATTGTCTTAATAATACATTAAATAGGAGTAGGTACGTTGGTATAGAAACTTATGAAGATTAGGGGCAGATAACAAACGGATCAATGGGAGTATTATAGGGTCTAATAAAAGAGAATAGTGGATAGATAAGTAGGTAGATACTTACATATTTACTTTTAATTCTTAACATAATTTTTTCGAATTTCAGTGTTGCTTACCAGTCCGTGTGATGAAGCTACTTGGTGTCAAAACTTTGATTGCTACTAATGCTGCTGGAGGTTTGAACCCATCGTACAAGATTGGTGACGTCATGATCGTGAAGGACCACATCAACATGATGGGCTTTGCTGGAAACAACCCTCTCCATGGACCCAACGATGAGAGGTTCGGCCCACGATTCCCACCGATGAGCAAAGCCTACAACTACGAATATAGAAATATTGCCAAAGAGGTGAGTTGACATAGTCGTTTAACCTAACTTGTAACCTACGCATACTTTAGCGCAAGGTGATATTTATTTTATCTACCGTTAATGACATTACCACGGGGGTCGGTAATGTCAGATAAAAATATAAGTAGATAGGTATGCATACACTTACGTAACACATTCACTTACACGTGAGCTCTAGTCTTTGACCTTACGATCTGCGATGTGCGTCTGAAAGCAGATGTAACGCAGATACGAGATTATTTTCACAATCACTTCTTTTGTCATCTTAAAAATGTTTTGTGAACGTGCTCGGGTTTAATTAACATAATAACTGGAACCAAGGTTATCAGAGGTCGCGGGATACGATTTACAACTTGACGCACAATAAATAAACTGCGTAATGTGTTCAATGCCTACCTTCCTGTTTATTTTGTTGTGGTGCTGATCATCAGTCGGTAGGTACAGCTTTATGGCAGAATCGTTTGACCTTTGACACATTCTTGTCGAATTATTGACATTCTATAATAATAATATGCAGTTTCAACGGATAAGGTGATTTAGACATGCAGTACTACAAGAACGTTAATCGATCAAATCCTAATGGATGGAAAATACCTTGACATTATAGTCCAATTTATCTTGTGATTAGGCTTAAATGGATGAAGATTAAACGATTAAAATACTAATTCGTTTAGATGATAACGAAATTTCCCAATGAGGAGATAACAAACGCGGTTTAACGTTAACGTTTGTTGATGATACAACTTTGAGGTTGAGGGCAATAACAATCGTCGCCAATGCTATTTAATGTTATCGCAATCACACACCAACCAATGAATTGTACTTAAACTATTTAGGTAATGTGACAACATTACCTAAGTAGAGCCAGTTGTCACTGGCTCTGAGTTTACGTCCTCAACATGTTAGTTATTATTTATCAAAGAACTGATTAAAAATTCCGATAGATACTAAACTGCGCAATATTACAAAGTTTTCCCCTAAACAACTGCTACTGATAAACTGCGTTGCGATCTACTCTATAAGCTACCACGGTCCCGGCTTGGAGCAGGAGAAGAAACGGAGTGGTTTTTAGTCAGTAAGCGACTGACAGTCCTATCGCTTGGGTCAGAGAAGTCATGATATTACCCTCCCAAAAAAAAAGACATTTAGGTAACTTGCGTGGAGATTGTGCTTAACTTAAAAACTGGCATCGTAAAGAAAGAAACTGTCACAATGATTCTAAAAACCTAATTTGTGTACTTAATATAATAATATTGATTCCAGGTAGCCAAAGAGTTGAACATTGAGAACATAGTGAGAGAAGGTGTGTACACCTGCCTGGGAGGCCCTAACTTCGAGACGGTGGCTGAACTGAACATGTTGAAGATGGTCGGAGTTGATGCTGTCGGCATGTCCACCGTGCACGAGGTGAGCTGAAATCTATCAGTATATACCTACCTTAATTAAACTAGTTGAGTAGGTGGAGTGTTAGAGTTGAGTAGGTGGAGTGTTAGATTGATTACTTTACATTAAACCTAAAGTTTTAACTGGCTAAGTAGATTAATGTGATAAAGTCGTTGTTTTTATTTATTAAGAAACATTAGTTCAACTAGGTTTCTACCTACCTATAAGTAGGTATTTAAGTTTTAGGTAGGTATATTAATTTACTGTCATAAATACGTATCTACCTTACTGATTACGAGAGTACGTACACCTAGATAGACTTTCTCATCAGGAACATAGATGAAAAAGTCTAAGTAAGTACATCATAATTCTGAATAATAGGAACACCTAAGTAGGTACCGTATCTACTAGAAAATTTGTTTTGAATACTTACCTATGTTCCTAATACAAACTTTAATTACAGGTAATCACAGCGAGACACTGTGACTTAAACGTCTTCGCTTTGTCTTTAATCACGAACGAGTGTGTGACAAGCTACGAAAACAATGACGAGGCCAACCACGAGGAAGTTCTTGACGTGGGCCGCATGCGACAAGACATCTTACGTCTGTTTGTCAATAAACTGGTCGAAAGGTTCGCAGTCATCGAGGCGAAGAAACCCTGAGCGATAGAACAAATACAAAACTGAACTTATAAGATACTCTACAGCTGTATACATGATTAAGTTGACCCCAGGCATATTTTCGGCGCGTATTAGCTGGCTTTCCATAATCCTGCAGATAGATCTGAACAAACCAGTCGACGCACGATTACGCGCGTTTTACCGTAATTAAGTTTCACGAAAGCAAGGAATAACATGTGCCGAAAATAAGCCCGGTATAGGTGCAACGCTATAGAAACATTTTTACTTAGATAGGTAAATTATTTCTGAATGGATGTCAATCATTTCATAGTCTGAATAACAGCTAATTGTAGAGTTAATACGAAACAATCTTCCGTGACGTGTCCAGTTTAGGTTTTTATTCTATTTAGGTATATTTAATTTATATCTAGACGTTAAGATAGGCCGCTACGTTTAGATAGGACAATTTATTAATGTTTACGTTGTTATAAAAGTTGTTTTTAAGTTTTTAGAACGAGCATCGTGTATCTCGTTAGGTAAGTACCTAATTAACTGTAACTGTAATGAAATGAAAAAAGGAGATCTTGAACAATCTGAAATCTAATCGAATTGAATTTAATGATAATGACAATAAAAATCCTACTTATTATATATTTTTTATAATAAAATGATTGAACTACAGGATAATGTTTTATTTTAGTACCTAGGTTTGATTATAATCAGCCGGGGCTGCGGGGTAAGCGCAATGTGGCACCGCGACCTCGGCCCAGAGCAGGAGAAGGAACGGGGGGTTTTTAGTCAGTAAGAGTTTGACATTCTCTCTCGCCTTACCCTGGGCGGAAGAAGTCATTGGAGATTTTCCCCTGACAAAAAAAAAATGTTTGATTATAATATATGCACGTAGATTTATATAGCTTTAAGTGTGGGAGAGCCATGCTTTGGCACGAATGGGTTGGCTCGACCGGAGTGATACCACGGCCTCACAGAATACCGGCGTGAAGCAACCCAGCGTTATGTTTCGCCGTGTGAGTGAGGTTACCGGAGGCCCAATCCCTCCCCTTCTCCTATCCCTTCCCGTTCCTTTTATCCGCAACCCCTATCCCCAAAAGGCCGGCAACGCACTCGTAACTCATTTGGTGTTGCGGGTGTCCATGGGTGGCGCCGATTGCTTACCATCAGGTAATCCGTCTGCTCGTTTGCCGACTTATACCATAAAAAAGCTGTTGTTTTCGGATAACAGTACCTAACTAGAAGATAGAAAAAATTATTAGGAAATAATAAATAAATATGCCACAAATATTTACTTATATCGTGTAATTCGAGTATCAGCAACCATCACAGGACAACAAAATGCAGATTTTTAAATAAATAGTTATAAAATCAGGTGTGCTTTCACAAAAACAATGCTTATTTTTTGTTAACGGTAAATAGTCATTTATTGCAGAGGATGTTTTTTCGGACATAGGTGTGCGAACTCTTTGCATGCATCATCTATATTTTCATATTTGTAACGGAAGCCAAATTCTTGCACCCTCTTTGGTATGACGTACTGTCCTTTAGTCATTATCATGGCCCTCTCCTGATTCAGCAACATATTTAAAATCGGCTCCGGTACTGGCAGGAAAGCAGGTCTCCCCAAAGCTTTTGCAAATGACTGGAAAAGACACATAAAAATAAAATCGTATGGATACCAGAGCCAGAATCACTTCCTCAGCTCATCTGCAAAACAAAAGCAAAGCCCAAACGCAAAAAGGTGGGCAACACACTTGTAAATCTTTTAATATTGAGAGTCTAAGGGAGGCAACCATTCCTTACAATAAGATGATATTTCTGCACTTTCTTCTCTGGATCTATTCTAATATCATAAAGAGATAAAATTTGTAAGTTTGTAAATTTGTATGTAGGGGGTAAGACGAGCAGCGAGTGAAACCGCGCGATAGTAGCTAGTATCCGATAAAAGAAACACACTTTTCATCATTATTATGTGCTCCGAAATATTCGGGTTTAAAGTAAAGGAAATAGGAATGAGGCGTTTATTAAAAGTCTCATTTCTATTTTCTTTACTTTTACGCCGATTTAAAATAATTTTTTTAGTAATGGTCTATGTCATGTTCTCATACTCACTTGAGTAAAATCGTTATTGGTAATAACTTGTGGGGACACGCCATTCAGAATACCCTGAACATTTTCATTCTCAATAGCAAAGAGAATCAGTCTTGCGAGGTCATCTATGTGGATCCATGGTAGATATTGCTTGCCACTGCCGATGCGGCCGCCGAGACCGAAATAGAACGGGAGGAACATATTTTTGATCATACCTCCCCAACGACCCAGTACTGCGCCAGAGCGAATTATTACCTGTAGAAGAACAAATTTTTAATAATAAATGTAAAGGACAAACATTGCTAGTTGTGTGGCAAATCCAACATTATAGGGGGTGAAATTTCGGCAGTCACAGAATATTTATTTATTTATATAAAGGTTCTTCACAGCTTTCAAAATTACATTATTACAACTAAAACTATAGTTCCAGACTCTCTAAGACAAATAAATACAGGCATATTATACATTTTTAGTTGAAATATTACCCAACATAGAAATAGGACAAGACATTGGCAGCATATTTTGTATTCATATTGATTTATTCTGATGAATAAATGGTTGAAGGTCCAATTGTAGAAGTTTTAAAAGTAATATCTCCTTGTTTATGGTTTATAAACTCTCCAATCATAATAATGAAATGGCTGACAAATAGTAAAATATACTTACAAGCCTTACAGGTGGATCTACTTTGGCAGCTTTTTCCCATTCCACAGTCAGTCGGGAGAAGAAGTCAACTCCTGTGGTGGGACTGCTTTCATCATATTTATTGCACTCCGAAGGTTCATAAGCCCCAACCCCAGTGACAACTACAAACACTTTTGGTTTATCTATACATTTGTTAATTGCATTTGCAAGTGCTTTTGTTGTATAAACTCTGGAGTTTTGAACATTTTGTTTAAATCTGCAAATACATAAATTAAATTGGTTATTGAATTTAGCATAATAATTTCTTTTTTCACACTAGTAATAAAACCAACAACATATTACAAAGTTTCAACAGTAGCATGTCTTACGTAGAAGCATAAATAGTAAAACCTTTTTGAACCTACTCAAGGTCCATTCAGCCTATGGAGGAATTAAATTTGTCTAGCTGAGCAGTCCCACATATAACTGCTTAAAATATTTGGATCAATAAATAAGGATAAGTAAATTGACAAAATGCAATTAATTACAGTACCCAGGTGTCCAGGATTTTGTAAAGTCCATAAATTGTTGACCAGCACAATTGACCACCGCACATGACTTTAGTGGCAAGCCTGATTGCTCCAATGAGGTCCATGATATATTGTTGGCACCAGGCATACGAGTTATATTCACTACATTGTAACCTTTAATGCCAAGAAGTTCACCCAAATGACTTCCAATGAAGCCTGTTCCACCTCCTGAAAGAAAATATATATTTTAAAAATGTATACTTATGTATTTTGATTTTCTCATTGATTATTTCTTCTAGGCGAAATTTAATAATGCGTAGCAGTGTCCAAGTAGATTTGGATTTGCAAGTTTGCATCTAACTTTTATCCATAAAATATTCATGTACTTTAGGTACATTTTAGGTTTAGGTTTAGATAACTATTTTATATTATTTTTTACAGACATCTTTAATGCCTTTTTGAGCACAATTTCATGAAAAGTATCTAGATTATTAGTGATTAGTAAATATATTTGTGAAGTTGTGTTGTCTGGTAGTCAAAGGCCTAGAAGGCAAGCATAAATGATAAGTTTTTGAATTACTAAGGACATATTAACGTACCAATTAAAACTTTTCTGGTAGTCATAATTATATAATCACTTGTATTCTTCTAGTATTATCTGACATTTGTCACTTACTAAATAGAAAAAACCAAAATTATATGTTTTATAGACAATATAAAGACTCTATTTTTAGGCCAAGCTAAACAATTCACATATTTCTTTTCAAATTTTACGATTGTTGAATTTGTTATTCCGGTCCGATTTTCATATCAATGCGAAGTTTTCAAAATATCAGTTTACAGCTGATGAATGTGACAAACAAATATTGTCAAAATCTTCAACTTCAAAATATGACAGATGATAATGCTAACGATATACCCAAACTACAATAATTATATATATAGGCAAACTTCCATTCAATCTTTGGAACCGCTGGTCGGATTGCCAAAATTATTTTATTGATAGATAACTACAATGCTCCTGAGGGCTGCAGGCTATAAAACATCACGCTACGATTAAAAGGAGCTGAGCAGCGGGTGAAACCGGACCGCGCGAGAGTACTTAGTGATTATTAAATTTATTTACCAACCTAAGAAGAAAAAGTCCTGCATTTATATGAAAATGGCGTAGCACGATATCATGTCGTATCTTTACACTGTAAAATATCATTACAATGAAAATATTAAATAAAATTATTAATCTAAAATGCTAGATTTCAATTTGCTATTTAAGAATAAAAATTATTTGTTTTGATAGTTGACAGACAATAATAATTACAGCTGTCAGCTTATAGTTTTCAGTGAGAGGTATGAATTGAATCGAAAACTTTGATTACCTAGCATTTTTATTTTCTTATTTTTGTGCAATACTTTGCAGAAGCAACTATAATATAGGTGATTCAATTTTTGCGTGCAATGATATCACTTTATGTTGAAAATGGCACTGCTTATGTATGGAACTCTGAAGGTAATTTAGGTTCTTAACGTTTATGTTTAATAATGTTTTTGTGTACTTATTAAAGTATGACGTTTTGTTGTATACAGATTGGTACGAGCTTCGAGCCAGCCATCGAATATGCGGGTCATTAATTGGATCATTACCATCATATCCAAGGCAAAATGATTTTTTAGGTTTGTACCTTCTCAATATAGTAGTTTACTGCACCAGAAGTTACTAATGATTTGGACAGAAAAGAAGTTAAAAAATCAGTTGAACTTTCTCATTATAGCTAATCATTAATAATTTTAGGTTTACCTATGGCGTTGACATCTGAAGAAACAGCACTTTTAGTAGAAAATGGGATTTGTCAGTTATTTGAAGTGCCTAACCTAATAATGAAACCATCAGAAGAAGAAAAACAGTTGATAAAGGAACTGGAACAGAAGTAAATTACATATTTGTTGGCAAGTCACATAACAATAAGCTTAACTTTGAAGATAATAACATGACATTATATGAATATCTTTTTTGTTTTCTGAGTTTAAAATGATTGTTTGAGCTTTTTGTTGTGTTTTAGAGTTTTATTGGAACAAACTGAAGCATTGAAGAAGAGGAAAATAGAGCAGTTGTCACAGAAGATTGACATTATAATTGCTGGCAAGAGACAAAAATTACTGTCAAAAGGCATAACAGGTATGGAGATAATCATATTGAAACATTGGTTTCTGACACCATTCCTAATCAAGCAATTGCTTATTATTTGAAATAAATTGAAATGGATGGAAGCTTGCAAGTGGTTTTCTAGATGCCAGACTCTTATAAAATTGTTGATGGGTTTCTAAATAATAGAATATCATAGCTTGAATTATATTATGAATCACCTATTTTCCCATAGTTTAGTATTGAGATTAGTTTAGAATAAATGAACTGAATGAGAATACTTAAACACTTTTTGTTGTTTTATGTATACATATTAAATACACACCTTTTTTCTACAGATGTTCAACTAGACAAGCAAGCTTTATTACAAGAAGAAATAAATAAACTGCCAAAATTAGCCCCAGCTCATGTATTGACTCATTTACCAACTGAACATTGCATGGAAACAGGTAACCATCTTTTATTGATATAACTTATTTTAGCAGTGATAAAACTGTACTGAAATTAATTAGTTTTTTTTGTATAATTTTACAGAAAAGAAAAGTGTTTCTATTGATGTTTTAAAACCCAGTGTTACAGAAGGAAAAGGTCATATCAAGTATAAAATATTCAAAGATTTGTGGGAAAAGAAATACCATATTACGAGTGGTTCAAAATTTGGTTGTGACTTCCTAGTTTATCCAGGTAACTAAAGAAAAAAGCAAAATATACCATAGGGATAATTATTAATTATATTTCTACGACTTTCGACTACTTTTCTATTAAGAAGTTTCAAAAGTATTTATTTATTTAAACTTTATGCAACAAAACATTACATAGGCGGACTTAATGCCGTAGGCATTCTCACCAGCCAGTGAAAGTACCTATTTATGGTTTAGTTGGAATAAATGATTTTGACTTTGACTTTGTATACCTATTTTTACAATTTCAGGAGACCCAGTGAAGTTTCATGCAACATATATGGTGCAATGTGTTTATGATCAAAAGGCCACCATGAGACCTTCAGAATTAGTAGCATTTGGAAGACTATCTGTTACAGTGAACAAATTAGCTGTTTTTGCGTTTTACAATTCTCAAGAAAAAATTGAATACCAAACACTCCAGTGGCATGATAATGTAACATAAATAAAGGAAATCTTTGTTAATGTTTTTTTCGTTCTTTATCAATACTTGACTTGACTTTACTTACCAATTCAAAACTTTCCCTAGAATGGCACACAAAAACATTGTTCTACTAGGATTTTCTCCTGTGTCCTGGGTGCGTATCCAGATCCAAATCAACAATTTGTGAATTACTAAAATTTTTATTCCGTGCGGGAATCGAATCAGCGACACTACGCAGCATCCGGTTGCACAGCCACACGCCAACCGTGCAGTCTACGTTTCTGCATCTCTTCTTCGGCCTAGAGTAGGAGGAATGGGGTAGTTCATAGCCTGTAAGAGTTTGACACTGCCTCTGGCCCCGCATTAGGTCTGGACGAGAGAAAATGATATCTCACTTAAAAAAAGGAAAATTAGCGACTGCGTTTAGAATTATATATCATATCATAAAATAATATATAATGGAATGAATAATGCAACTATAATCTCTTATTTTTGGGCTTGCACAACAAAGTGGTATGAGCCTTATGCGGCGACATTTTCAAACCCATACGACATTCAAACTTCAAGAAACGAGCGCAGAATGTTTTTTTTTTATGTAATAGGTCGGCAAACGAGCAGACGGATAACCTGATGGTAAGCAATCAACGCCGCCCATGGACACCCGCAACAGAGGAGTTACGAGTGCGTTGCCGACCTTTTAGGGATTAGGGATTTGGAGATTTAGGAACTGGGGAGGGATTAGGGAAGGGGAAGGATTGGACCATGTTTTAAATGGCCGGCAATGCATTTGTAGTTCCTCTGGTGATGTGGGTGTCCGTGGGCAGCGCTGATCACCATGCGAGTGATATACGGGGTGCGTTATACGGGGCTTGACAGGGAGGGTTTGACATTTGATGACAGTTCATATTATTTATTCTGTGGGATTAGGTGTCAAATACCGACCGACAAAGCAATATAAAGCTAACCCTTTTATATTATATATATTTTCTGAGATATAACATTGAAAACAAATACACAATAAAATGGATGACCCAGAATTAGAAAAGATTAGACAACAACGGCTTGCTCAACTACAGTCTCAACATGGGGTGAGTGTGAATCATAATGTTGAGGTTAAGCTCGATATTCGTTTTGGAATAAATTACTTACTAATATTTTGTTGTTGTTGTATTTAATTCAGAAAGAAAGTAGAGGTTTAAAGTATTATTCGAGTGCTTTATACTTTTTTACTGGTTTCAGGGTACTGGTGATCCTAGTCATGCTAAACAACAGGAAGAGAGAATGCAAGCAATGGAAGAAGCTAAACACTCAATTTTGGCACAAGTACTCAGTCAAGACGCTAGAGCTAGATGTAATTTTTCATAAATACTATAGTATTAAAGTTTTAACTATACAACTGTACTTAATATAATAGTTGTATGTGAAGATATTTTAATCATGTGATTTTCCTTTCCAGTGAACACAATCAAACTTAGTAGACCAGAAAAAGGTGCCATGGTTGAAAACATGATCTGTAGAATGGCTCAGGCGGGTCAAGTTCGTAATAAGATAACAGAACCAGAACTGATTCAACTTTTGGAGTCCCTCAATCAACAGCTGCCTAAATCAACAAGCACTGTGAAGTTTGACAGAAGGAGGGCAGCACTCGACTCAGACGATGAAGATTTCTAGCACTGCATAACTAAGTTAACTCATGGAATTATGCCATCATTGGAATGCCTTAACACATTAAATGCTTATTTATCTATTCAAAAATGTTATTTCCTTTGTCATATTCATTTAAGTAAAATTATATCTTATTTTGTAATTATTTTAATGTTCAAATCTATGTTGTATTCGTTTAGATACACTGATAAGGCTTTGTTTTAATACAACTACTTTAATACTCACTCTTGTTAATTTATCTAGATGTAGTAAAAAATACCTCTATAAGCTAGTACAATATTAATTGAAGGTAGAAAGTCGTTAAGATAAGTAACTTGATATTCTTGCTAGTCTTTATTCTCCTGCCATTGTAATGCTTTGGACTTGCCAATCTCAAAGTTTTATATCTCTGTGTGTTAATTTTTTTTTAGTCAGTGAGTGTGACCCTACCTTGAAGAAGTCCCAAAAGTCATTTGGTGGTGTTGCAGGTGCTCATGGATATCACAAATTATTGCCAACAGGCCATATCAATCTACAGGTTCATAGTATATTTCATAATTATTTCTTTGACCAATAGGTAAATACAAATTTTGCCTCCTTTCTCCTTTGTGGGATAAGGTTCTATTTTTACACATAATATTATACATATAGCACATTGCTGTTAAAACGAATGCTTGCGTTGTGTCAAATCGGGTGATTTGCATTCGCTCCCGCATTTTCGCCCCTAGGGGAACGAATGGCAATGGAAGTTTCGTTTGCTCGCGATATGGGCAAACGAAACTTACCCGCTATAAGCCAGGACCAGGAGTCAAATGCAGTACCTAGTGGGGATTCCAAAATAAGAGATTTCTTGGACCGTTAAAACGTTTTAATTTCGACGGACTGAACAACAAACGTCATTTTAGATATACCTTCCTTCTCAATCCTTCCCCGCCCCCAATCGCTAAATCTCCAAATCCCTAATCCCTAAAAGGTCGGCAAAGCACTCGTAAATCCTCCGTTGCAGGTGTCAATAGGCGGCGCTGATTGCTTACCATCAGGTAATCCGTTTGCTCGTTTGCCGACCAATTACATAAAAATAAAAAATAAAAATAATAAAAACCTACCTAATGAATAATTGAAAATGTGAAATCCTTATTAGGGACTGTGTTGGCTCGCGGTCTTTAGAGGAACGAACTTCATTCTCCCATTCTGGGTGTCAACGAAAGTTTATTTTGTCATCCATCCCTTGTAGGGAAGGAGAATAACCCTGACAACGTGGCATACAGAAGAGCCATGAAATAGTTCACGTTCACGTATCTTAGACCTATGTTTTACATAAATTTTATGCCTCCTCATCCGGAGTGATATCACGGTCTCAGAAAACAAATTCTAACAGGCTTGCGTGTTGCGTGTGCCGTGTGCTGCCGTTTGGTATAGCAGGTGTTCATGATCGGCGACGAGTGCCTATCATCAGATGATCCTTCTCGTTGTTCACTACTTCTATCTACACTTGTATATATCTACCTACTCCTTTTGTTTTGTAATTGCTACGTCTGAGTGGTATTTGGTATTTTTTTTTAATGATTAGAATGTACCTATGTTGAAAACTAGACTTCAATGAATTCGTTTATGGTTTAGATTAAAAGTTGTAAAGTCTGCATCAATTTAATGATCAGGTAAAGTCACGTAGTTAATAAAATTATCATTTGAATCTATTTATACTAATATTATAAAGAGGTAACTACAATTTGTGAGTTCACTCTCTGAGGCACACGCTAGCGTAACCTATCCTTGGGTTAGCCCTGCTTGGGCTGATCTCCGTCATGTCTTTAGGGAAGTGATCGGCGGTGGCGGTTATCGGGTCGAGGCCATGGTGTGGAGTGAGAGAACCTAGGAATCCGTCTCCTCTTTGTGCTAGGTAGCCATGTTCGCAAAAAAGGAGGCGGAGCGCGTGAGGGAACTGAGGAGGATTCCTCAGTCCTCATCCCCTAGCTGCCGCAGTATATTCGCGCGACAATCTCCGGCCACCGTTAAGATAGGACAGCGGACGGCCAGCAATGGTAGCACGTATTCCCACCAGAGTCAAATCCAAACGTTAGTCACGTAGTGTTTTGCACACAAAAGACCACCACAGAATTAGAGTTTTTCCACAGATTTCGCCGTGTGAGTGAGGTTACCGGAGGCCCATCCTTCCGCCTCCCCCCATCCCTTCCCAATCCTTAAATATCCTAAACCTTTATCCCTAAAAGGCCGGATACGCATTCGACAACAACTCCTTTGATGTTACGGGTCTCCAATTCTCCATGAGCGGGGCTGATTGCATAGTAATCTGTCTGCTCGTTTGCCGACATATACCATAAAAAACAATTACATAGTGGATAGTAGGAACCCGGTAGCGATCACCCAATTGTTGGGGGCATACTGAATATTAATGTCAAGCTGGAAAGGACGTCTGGTGAAGTCAACACTCCGTCCTTACCGCGCTCAGATTTGGAAACCAAGCCTTTTGACTCCAACTGCATAATCGCTTCCAGTGCCTTACCGATTGCGAAACCATCGACGAAGTAATATTGAGTAGATGGAAGTTGTCCGAGCAGTGGGGTCGGAATTCTTTAAGACCCCACGCCGAAACAAGCCCTTAAAGCTCTCGAACGGAACATTAATGCTCCTGAAGCACCGAAACGCAATGAGACTACAGTCTTCAGTCGATATGTCAGAGTACGGTAACCTCAATAGGCTAATTTCAAAAGCCATGCGACGTGACTTGCGTGCTTATAATCACTTTTGGGTCATGTGTACAAGCTGTGCGCGAGAGTCATTTATCACGAACCGTCTCGAACGCAGGCTTGATGACTTCCAGAGTGTTGCCCAAATGCAAGAACAAGACGAGACTTAGCCAGTCTTGGTCTTGGTCTTGCGCCAATACACCTGGTCTTGGTCTTGGTCTTGGTCTTGCGCCAATACACCTGGTCTTGGTCTTGGTCTTGGTCTTGCGCCAATACACCTGGTCTTGGTCTTGGTCTTGGTCTTGCGCCAATACACCTGGTCTTGGTCTTGGTCTTGGTCTTGCGCCAATACACCTGGTCTTGGTCTTGGTCTTGGTCTTGCGCCAATACACCTGGTCTTGGTCTTGGTCTTGGTCTTGCGCCAATACACCTGGTCTTGGTCTTGGTCTTGCAGCAAGAGTCTTGCAAGTCTTGCAATTACCTATTAGTCTATTACTATTTATTAAAGTTTACTTTAAATCTTAGAAAAACGTATTAGAATTGGAACATTGTGAGCTTGAATTAACATAGCCATAGTAAAGATCAAGCAGATTAATAAATAACTGAAGATTTCGAAAAATTTGAAATTCGAAAAATCAACTGACTTATATGTCGTTTTCCAAGGAAGTAACTGTTTCATAATAAACATTTATGATTTATAAGCTGACATTTGCTAACACATGTAAAGAAACAAATTAATTACAATAACTTGACTGTATTTTAAAGAACAATACTTATCTGTCTAGAAAGAGATTGAACCCTCAACTTATAAGAAATTTTAATAAAAGAGTTTTACGATTTATCATTTATTTGAATAAAAAATAAAATACAACACAAATCAACAGCTTTATCATTAGGTTATGATACTTTATATAAATTTTTTTGACCAAGAATTAATACAAAGTAACAATCTGGCTGACTCATCACTTAACCTATTTCTATGTTTTCTAATTACTAATGATGCTTTAGAAAATAACCTCTCAGCAGTTTTAAGTATATTTAAAAGTGGCTACAATATTTATTAAACTTGTGATATTTTAACACTTTTTTGCTATTTTTTCTTGTAAAAACTTAAGAAATATAATGACTAAATGTACAATAATAGTACCTAAGTAATTAGTTTAAAACCATATAAGTAATCAATATTATACTTAATATATACTTACTAGAATGAATTAATATGACATTTACTGCCTATCCTTACCATTTTATCCTAATCATAATACTACTTGCGTGATCAGTATAATGTATTCATTTTCATTCTAAACACTCTGAAACTTATTTATTCTTTGGGACACCTGTAGGTACACTTGAAATTCGAAATTATTTTGCATGATATGCAAATATCATATCATGCAAAATAATTTCTACCTTTCTACCAAAATTTCTTTGAGAAGTTTTTTCTTTGAGAAGAAGAACAAAACCTTTGATGCCGCATTATCAAAGTGCCGATGGTTAAAACATAACTATGCATGCACTCAGTTTGATTTTAATAGATATTTTTTTATTCGCTGTGTTTATGGTATTAGTCGTAATGCGCATAGGTCCAGTTTTTCATATTCTTTGATACAGTTTTTTGCGTCTCATAGAATTCCAAAGCGTACCGACCTGTACACCGAACTGTTACACCTAACTACTCAGTGAAATAGCGCTAAGTCCTAGCTGCAAGACGCAAGAGTCTTGCAGGCTATGTCTTGTTCTTGTCTCAAGTCTTGCAAGGTCAGTCTTGGTCTTGGTCTTGCTAAAAATACGCGGTCTTGTTCTTGGTCTTGGTCTTGCAAAAACGCAAGAACAAGACCAAGACTGCAAGACCAAGACTGAATTTGGGCAACACTCAGCCTCCCGAACAAGCCGGGTTCCGGAAAGGCTTTAGAACCAAAGACCTCATAAAGACACTTCGCCAGATTATACAAAAGGCAGAGGAGTATAATCTGCCATTGTGTCTAGCGCTTGTGGACTATGAGAAAGACTTCGATTCGATCGAAACCTGGGCAGTGCTGCAGTCTCTCCAGCGATGCCATGCCGACTGTAGATACGTTGACGTGCTTAGGTGTTTGTATAGAAACGCCACAATGCTCCTCCGACAAAACGACTCCAGGAAGACAGCACAAAACCAATACAATTGCAGAAAGGCGTGAGGTAATTTCTCCGAAACTTTTCACGAACGCATTGGAGGACCTTTTCAAGCTCTTGGACTGGAGCGGCTTTGGTACCTATCAATATTAATGGCAAATACATAACTGACCTGCGCTTCGCCGATGATATAGTCGTTTTGTCAGAGTCGTTGGAGGATCTGAACACCATGCTCAGCGACCTCGATGTCTAAAAATGAACATGGACTAGACTATACCGGTCATCGTTGGGAACGACATCCTTGAAGTTGTTGACCATTACACATACCTTGGTCAAATAATTCAGCTAGGTAGGTCCAACTTCGAGAAAGAGGTCGGCCGAAGAATTCAACTTGGATGGGCGGCGTTTGGGAAGTTACAAGATGTCTTCTCATCAAAAATCTCACAGTGCCTGAAGACCAGGATGTTTAACCACTGTGTGTTGCCGGTGTTGACATATGGTACTGAGAAGCGGTCCTTAACTTCGGGCCTTTTTGGTAAACTCGAGAAAACTTCGAGATGCGATAGAGCGGGCTGCGCTCGGGGTCTGTTTGTGCGATAAAACCTGAAATTTGGAAATTCGCCAAAGGTCACCGTAAAATCACATAGCTCGTAAAATCGACAGGCTAAAGTGGCAAATGGCAGGCTACGTCGCTCGAAGGACGGCCGGCCGACGGGCCCGAAAAGTACTAGCTAGAGTGGCGACCAAGGGCCTGCCTGCCCAGCAACCTGCCCAGGAACATAAAGAATAATTGTAAGTACCAAGTTTTGTTAAAATCTGTCGAGTAGTTTTTGTTTCCATAAGGAACATACATATAGACAGACAGATAGACAAAAATTTTACAGAATATATTTTTGGCATCAGTATCGACCACTTATCACCCCCTGATAGTTATTTTGAAAATATTTTTCATGTACAGAATTGACCTTTCTACCGATTTATTATAAGTATAAAAGATAAATAAATTAGAATCCGCCAAAACATCAATAGTTTTTGTGTACCTACCTACCTAGGTATATTATCTTGCGGAACAGGGCAACTTTTCCTCCAAGCATTTTAGTTACTGAGTTTGTAGTATACTTGCCTGAGTAAATTGGTCTTTGTACATCATTTTAAAGTGCTCTTCAAGTTGTTGGATTCTGACGAACGACGTCTGTACTTTACCAATCTAACTAAATAAAGGCTGACATAATTATTTCATATTAAGTACCTATAGCTTATCACACAAAACGATTGGTTACAGACTTTCATTATTGATTATTTCTTTTATCTTCATACAGTCGTTATTTCTTTGTGTACCTAGCAATTAAATGCTGAGTAATAAGGTATGGCACGTAATTGCAGCATCTTAGTATGGCCACTTTTATTTGTTACTAAGCTTATAGTACTTGTGTAGTAGGTACCTAAGTATTATTTGTCTAATTTCCGAGAATTCGTGTACCTACTTAGCGCAGTTACCTATATTAAATATTTATCTACGTTTGTGGTGTGTCCAATTTAGCGTCATCCATGGACACCCGCAACACCAGAGGAATTACGAGTGTATTAATTATTATTAGGGCTTCGAAGATTGTTTTTTAAGGTTTTAACACAATCAGAGTTACTTACACATAGTCATGACTTAGCAGAAACTAAATACACGAAGTCAGGTACCCGTTATTTGCTTCTAACTGTCCCATTCCAATATAGCACTCAAAGTACCTAATAACTTTTGGGATTGGTCGATCAGTAGGTATCGTTATCAAAGCTTTAAATCATAATATTTTTATCATTTCTTTCAAAATTATAAAATACGATATCTAACGTCGTTTGCAATGAGTAGTCCATTGGCCGTGAATAATGTTACGTGTGGAGCTGTTGGTGGTCATAGCCACTTGCTTTTATGTGGCGGTTGCCAGGAGCTCGCCGCAAGCTAGAAAAATCCAGGGGCTGATTAAAAACATTGACACACGGTATTCTGATGACATATATGAAGACGCGAACCTTGACGTGGTGAGTGACAATTGTTGTACCTACAACAAAATTATGGCTCCAATCCTACCTGCGCACCAACATTCCAAATATGGTTTCAGCCAGCTCTCATCACAAAATATGGCTATCCCGTCGAGGAACACTCAGTGACAACAGAAGATGGTTACATTTTGGGAATGCACCGTATCCCTTATGGTCGAGACGCTAACAATGTGGCTAATCAAAATAAACCTGTTGTGTTTGTAATGCATGGTCTACTTTGTTCCTCGGCCGACTTTATTCTCATGGGACCAGGCTCTGGTTTAGGTAAGAGCGATATATTATTTTAAATGAACCGACTTTAATGCTATAAACATATATTAGCAAGCATCTCTTTTTCAAATTTTGGACAAAGTGTGGTCATAACTTATACTTTTACAGGTTACATTCTCGCTGAAGAAGGATTCGACGTCTGGTTGGGTAATTCACGCGGTAACTATTATTCTCGCAAGCACGTTACGCTGAATCCTGATGCCATATTGAACACAGCATTTTGGCAGTTTTCTTACGATGACATAGGCAACGAGGACTTACCTGCTATGATTGATTATATACTTAAGACTACTGGAGCAGAGAAGCTTCACTACGTGGGTCATTCGCAGGGCACTACATCATACTTCGTAATGGGGGCTATGCGACCTGAATACAATGACAAGATCATTTCGATGCACGCTCTGGCTCCCGTCGCTTACATGGCGCATAACGAAAATCTCCTACTAAAAGCATTGGCACCTTATTCTTCTGAAATTGAAGTAAGTTCTATGAGTGTATCTATGGAGTAAATAATAACCTGTGCCTGAAATCTAATATCGCAATAATTGTTGTGTTTCTAGACGATCGCCTCTCTAGTTGGTGTTGGAGAGTTTATGCCCCATTCGATTATCTTCACGTGGGCTGGTGAAGCCTTGTGTCGCGATGAAGTGGTATTCCAACCTATATGCAGTAACATTTTGTTTTTGATCGGTGGATGGGACGAAGCCCAACTTAACACGGTAAATCCTAAGGTGCATAACGAAACCTACTTTAAAAAAGGAGAGCGGTACTGGGTCCGGTTTCGTTTTGAAAAGCCGTGGGTAAAAGTACTATTATTATTTTTTTATGTAATAGGTCGGCAAACGAGCAGACGGATTACCTGATGGTAAGCAATCAGCGCCGCCCATGGACACTCGCAACGGCGGAGTTACGAGCGCGTTGCCGACCTTTTAGGGATTAGGGATTTGGAGATTTAGGGATTGAGGAGGGATTGGGGAAGGGGAAGGATTGGGCCTCCGGTAACCTCACTCACACGGCGAAACACAACGCAGTGGTTATTTTACGCCGGTTTTCTGTGAGGCCGTGGTATCACTCCGGTCGAGCCGACCCATTCGTGCCGAAGCATGGCTCTCCCACACTTAACACACTTTTGAACTGTTTTTCAATGTTTACAGACTATGATGCCCGTCATCTTCGGTCACACGCCGGCCGGTGCCTCTGTAAAACAACTCGCACATTACGGACAAGGAATTGCTGCGAAAGGTTTTCGCCGATATGATTACGGAACTAATTAATAATATAATATAATAATATCTTTATTGAACCAAAGACCTTACAATTTTTTGCTTAATATCTAATTTACAATTTATGAAAGGTATACAAATTTATTAAACCCTGCCTCCTAAACTAGGATACCCTGTGTCTTAGGAGTCAGTGTTCCACTGTCGCTTGGACTTAATATAACCCTATCAGATAATCGGTACATTGTGCAAGGTGATATTAGAAACTAGATTACAAAGTAAAAATGAAAAATTGAGTAAGTGAGTGAGCGTGCGTGTGTGTGTGCGTGCGCGTGGGTGCATGTGTGTGTGTGTGTGTGTGTGTGTGTGTGTGTGTGTGTGTGTGTGTGTGTGTGTGTGTGTGTGTGTGTGGGTGTGTGGGTGCGTATGCAGTTTATATAATGTTTGTTGAAGGTAGGATAGTGTTAGTGTAGCTATGAATGTTTTGTATTAATTTAATTTAGTATAATTAAGTATTGGGCAACAGCAGCTCCTCGGTCTGTTCATAGTTAAGAAGATACAATAGATTTTGTAATTTATTTTTAGCCTCATGTTTGTTTAATCTAGTTATAGATAAAGATTTATTTATGTTCCTATAGACTATTGAGCTCAGCACGTATAACTGTCTTCTAGCAAAGGCTGTTTTATGCGACACGCTCGGGCAATTTGTCTTGTTCCTACGTTCACCTGGGTCTGGTGGTGGTATCTGCTGGTGCTTCCATAGAGTGGCCCTGAGCACAAAGAGCTGCCTCACCGTAAGAATTTTATGCTCGGAGTAAAGCTGATGTGTTGAATACCGGAAAGGTTTTTTCAACATTACTTTTAGGACAGCCCTCTGTGCTCGCTCCACCTCCATGAACTTTGTCTTGGCGGAACCACCCCATGCTAAGATGCAATAGCTGGCGATGGACTGACAGAGGGCAGTGTATACCATTTTTAGACTCTGTAGATCTGCAGAGTGCCTCAAGGATTTCATAATTTGAATGGTTTTCCTTACTTTAGAGGCAGTATTTTCAATTTGACTATACCATTTTAGTCCATCATCAACTATCACACCCAGGTACTTGGCAGATGTAGCCTGTGGCAGTGCTGAACAAGCACAGGTTGTGCGATCCTGACAGGTATGGGCCATGATAGAATACGTGTTGGGTGGTTTTGTTTTCTCACTAATGGAAAAAGGAATATAATTGGTCTTTTTGAGGTTTAGTGTTAGAAGGTTCCTGAGTAACCACTGATTTACTACTTGTAGGGATGCCTCTGCTTTTGTTTTTACTTCAGACCAGCTTTTGCCATGGACCACAATCGCAGTATCGTCAGCATATGCAAATATGTTAGCAGCTGGTAGGGTTAAAGTGCACAAGTCGTTGATGTAAATTAAAAATAGTGTTGGGCCGAGGACACTGCCCTGCGGAACTCCATACGACATTGTTTCTTCAGCGCTAAGTTTTGATCCTATTTTCACACAGATTTTCCTGTTAACTAGGTAGCTCTCGAAGAGGTTATACACAATTCCTCGTATACCTATACTCTCCAGCTTGGAGAGGAGGGTGGGAACCGAGACCGTGTCGAACGCCTTTGTTAGGTCAAGGAATAGACCTAGGCATTTTTGTTTATTGTCTAACTTCCTTGCTATACAATTTGTTAGGTCTAATACTGCATTTTCGGTAGATAGGCCCTTTCTAAAGCCATATTGGTTATTTGCTATAATATTATGTTTAGTAAGATAATTTACAAGCTGTTTATTAATTATTTTTTCCATAATCTTAGACAATACCGGAAGTACAGCAATTGGTCTATAGTTGTCGACACAGTCTCGAGCACCACCCTTGTGTATAGGATGTATAACTGCTTTTTTGAATGTGTTCGGGAATATACCTGAGTTTATGGAACAGTTAATGATGTGTGTGATCAGTGGTACTAGGTTCCTCTCACATATTTTAATTACTTTCACAGAGATTCCATCCCAGCCCGTCGCAGAATCATGTGTTAGGTTTGAGATGGTGCAAGCTACATCCACGTTATCTACAGGTAATAGGGCTAGGGAAGTATTACTTGACCCGTTTGTCCGACTATGCGGGTCGTTCGGTGCTGAGGTCTCAATTGCAGATGCCAAGTTTTGACCTATACTTGCAAAAAAATTGCAGACTTGGTTAGCTGCCGCATCTTGATTAGGAGCTGTTTTAAGTAGTTCGTAGGGGGGAGATTTTGTCTTGGTCGTATATGTTAATTCTTTAATTTTGTTCCACAGACTTTTCGGGTTGCTTTTGGCTTTGCGAAGTTCATTTTGCTCATATACTCTTTTAAGTTTCTTTAGTAGTCCATTACAAAAGTTTCGATACCGTCTATATGTGGTTTTTAATATGTGGTTGGTTGGGTCTTTTCGGGCTTTTTTGTGGAGTTTATCACGGTGGCGAATGCACCGTAATAAACCAGGTGTTATCCAGGGGCGAATATTTCGTACTTTCTTAGGGACTGCTACTAATTTAGTGTGCCTCATTATAGCCGCATGTAATATTTTAGTTAGCCTTTCTGATGCAAAGTTAGGATCATTTGTGTCTAATACTTCTGAGAAATCTTGTGCATCAATATCAATCTTGAGACTTGTGTAATCGGTTTTAGGTATTTTATAGGCAGGTATCTTAGACGGGCGTGTATTACTTATTGATAATAGGACTGGAAGGTGATCGGTGATATGCGACTGAATCACGAGTGAGGTAGCCGTTCTGTCTGTTTTCAGCAATGCATGGTCTATACAATTGTCAATTCTGGTCGGAATTCTGTGTGCTGGAAGCAATCCGTGAGTAGCATTTAATGTTAGATATTCACTTGCCCGCGCTTGCATACCCAAAGGTTTAATATCAATATTGGTATCCCCAATCAAACATATATTTGCGTAGTTCTTAAGGGACGTGAGTACATTATCTAAGCTGTTAAGGAAGTTGTCATACTCAACTTTTGTATTAAACGCCGGTGACCGATAGACTGTTATAATTGAGATTGTGTTAGCTATTACACATGTTAAGCAATTCCCATTTAAAAAGTTAGGTTCCTTAACAGTACAGTCAATGTCATCTTTTATGTATAGGACAATCCCGTCATTTTGGTTAGCTGTGTGCTTTGTGTAGTGTGACTTATAGCCGTTCATTACCGGTAAGTTGTGAACTTTATTTAACCAGCACTCAGTCAGTGTAATAACGTCGCACTTAACTTTTAGTGAAGTTATTAAAACCAATAATTCATCGAAGTTTTTATTGATGCTTCGTATATTTACGTGAAGTATATTAATCCCATCACATGACCCTAACAAGTATTTTGAACAATCGGACGGTGAACACTTGTATGATTGCGCAATTTCAAATTCATCTAAATCAACAATAATAGAAGATTGTATATGGTTAGCCATTTGTTAGGAATGATTTAAGGGTAAGTACTATAACACGATACGTTAAAACGAGTATTGAGCCCAATGGCGTGAGACCGTAAAGGCTTATGTCTAGCAGTCGACCACCACTGGCTGATAATGAATACGTCTTAATGTGGTAAGCATGCATCTTTGGATTGATAAAGTGAATAAGTACGGTGAGATATAGCGAAACGTGTATGATGTATGGTAATAGAGTGTAAAGCGGTGAGTAAGGTGTAATTGTGTTGTAGTATGTATTGTTGTGATGTATTTTGTGTGTTTTTTTACAAAAGTTTATAATGTTTTTAATTGTACATAATATGGTTTTAGAAAATTTTAAGCTAACATGAGATCTGAAGGTAAAATCGAAAAGAGTTAAATTTAAAACTTCGGTGGCTTGGGCCAATAAAATACAAATTCTGCTTACTGATAGATTGTATAGTCAGTCTTGGAGTTCCTTGAGCGTTGTTTCCGATTTGATCAGAATTTGCTTGTCTCCTATTTGCTTTCGAAGAAATATATTGCCGTTTGAGGTCCAGCAAAATTGGTACTTCCTCTGCCGCGCAAACTCTCTGGCTAAATAAAAAAGCCTTTTGCTCGCGTTTGACAAATGTTCTTCCACATAAACTGCTTGTTTCTGTCCCACTATTCCGAGTTTTTCTGTGTTAAGTTTATCCTCTTTATTTTTATTATTATATGTTCGAACACGTGAAATTAATTCATATTTTGTCTGGACACTACTAAATTCCGCTACAATAGCTTTGTTGCTGCCTCGATTCCCCGGTATCCGATATATGTCTCGAAAATGAGAAGCGGTCAGTGGGAAGTTCACTATGTTTCCTATGTTTGTAATTACTTTAATCAGATCTGCCGTCGACTCGTTATCTTGTGCAGGCATGTTCCGCACTTCAATACTTGACGACCGGGATTTGTATTGGAGGTCTCTAATAGACGATTCGAGTGACTCCGTATACCGTCTCCGTTCCCTATTTTCTTCCTGCAGATGCTTGATCTCCTTTTGTAGGTCTTCGTACTGCTCGCTTAAGAAAGTGATGGATTTCTTTATTTCGGTGTTTTCATTTTGGATTTGGATATTGGTATTTTGTATTTGTATGTTCTGAAGTTTTAGATCAGATATATCGGAGACCAGTTTTGTCATTAACCCGGTTTGTTCAGCTATTTGTCTTGTGACGTTTGCCTCTAGGTCAACCTTCCAAGTCAACAACATCTCCCTAATTTCCGACTTAAATTCATCAAACAAGTCGTGGCTGCGCGGCGAGTCGTTAGGTCGGGGTCTCTTATGACGAATGTTTTTATTGACAAATTCCGGGTCATTAGACGCCAGTGGGATATCAGGGACTGACCGAGTTTGTTCCCTTTGAGTCAGCGATGTTGGTGATGGAGAGCGCTGTAGGCCGTACATATTCCAAGCGCCGCGATAATTTATGCAAGTACGTAATACGAACCCAACAATAACAAATAATCACTCGAACTCGTAGCACTGCGTTCGTCCGCTACGAGGTGTTGTAGCGTGTAGCACAGTTTGTGACGTCGTAGCTGTCGAAGCCGTAGCTCGCAGTCGATAGCCGATGAGTTATTTCGATAACCGCGT